ATTCTGGTCCATGCTACTTGCAGCCAATCAGAAGTCAGACTTAGGTTTTATTTGAATATTTGAATGCCAACTGATTCTTCATCAACGAGTGCCAGACTACTTGTAAGGAAAGTGATGAGAGGAGCAGACTTTTGCTAGAATAGGATGAATACCAGGCTACATCTCGACCAAGCACACCCTTAATTTTGTGTTGTCTTTTTATGTTTTGTTGCAGTACCGGTGGTAGTACTGTCCGTAGAAAAGACGCCCTGACCCATACCCCCACTGATCATGAGATAAAGCACAAAATCCGCGGCCTCGCGCCTCAGAACTCGGTCTCAAACCCAGACAAAACGGGAAGGAGAGCGGATGCAATTCTCGAAGAATTTGAGGCAGAAGAAACCGAATTAATCCCGTCCTCAAAAGAAAAGAAAAATCGGAAGAGGTCCTCGTTATATGCTTGTTTTAAGCCAAATGAAGCTGATTAGCAACAGGTGTTAATTAGGAAACCTCGTCTGTATTCATGATCATTATATGAATTATGGTTACCATAGTGATGATCTTCTATGCAGTGTAATGTGTTGATAAGTTGATGACTAATATGTTGTGAATTTTTTTTAAAAAGTCAATAATTGCTCATGGCCTCTACTTTTTAAAGATTGAATCTTGACGTATTTGTGTATTTTTTCCAAAAGTTAATCTTAAAGGATTTTTTTTAGTTGCAAAGGACTTTGCACTGGCATCATCCATAGAGCCGACTGAACAATATATCATCTTTTTTAAGACAAAAGATGAGGCTGACAATATACAATTTCACGCTAATATCACAAACTTTTTCTGATAAAGAAGCTGCTTCAGTGATTATGAGGACAAGAAATGTAGTACCTCATTAGGATGATGATAGCAAGTATTTGCAAATTTACCACTGAATTGTAGGCATCAATGTCACAAGAAAGAAAGACATTGGAAACTTAAGGACATTCAACCAACTCTCAGGATCTTGAATTACTGTAGAAATACATATAGAAAGAGGAATTAAGGAATTTTTTGGGGCAGCTGGGTATATTATAAACATTTAGAGTTGTTGGTGAGTGTGTACATTGTATATAGCTTCTGAACAAAGGTATGACATACATGTACATGTAAACTGCTACTTTAGCTACATGTAGCTTTTTAAATTTGCTGTTCTCTTTCTGAGTTGTATTTTGTTGCAGTTGTAGTGTTGCAAATTTGTTTTACATATCACAACACATATAAAGTTTATCAAAGATATTGATGCAACAAATAAGCCACATCTATAATTGTATATATTATGATTGATAGGTTGATAATATAGCCAGTATAGGTAAAGAAATATAGATAGAAAATATCTTCTTGCCAGCTTCTTTTGTTAGTATATTTAATTTGGTTAATAGATTTGATAAGATCTTAAAGGAAATAACTTTTGTGTTGTATTTTGTGTTTTTTATGATTGTGCAATTTTACATCTGACTGAGTTTTTGCATCATGCTACATTTTACTGCCCAAAACCATGACATAAAAGGGAAAATTTTAAAGGGAAAATTATGCAATTTGAAAAGGAGTATGTTTTTCAATAATATATGTATATCTGTCAAATACTCTGGCAGTTGGGTCTGTGCAATCAAAGTTTATCTTTCTTGGGTAGAACAAAATCATAACAAAATCAACGGTATCCTTTCACATTTAAAATGGTTCAATACATCACTAGTAGCTTATGTAAATGTTAGTCAGATTTAGACATTCATATGACTTGAATAAAATCTAAGTATAAAACAACTGTAGAATGTGGAAATTGCAAGAATTTTTGTAGAAAAAAATTTAAATGTAGCTACTATGTCTAGTTGCTTTTGGCTCAGGAAAGCTTCTGACAAAATGTATTGTACATACATGTAGGGCTTACATCTAGATAAACATGCTTGATTATCAGTCAGAGTCTACTGATTGATATATCAAAACAAGTTTTATATCTTCATTTTGTGCAGGAAATATGACTGAAAAACATTCCCAACTTGACAGGTGTAAGCACCTTAATGGTAGCGGAAGCAATATTTTAGATCATTAAAACGACATTACGCCTCCCAATGATATTATATTACTGAAAACATCAATCACAATTACAGCTATTGAAAATTAAGTCATAGCTACAGTATCAGGGGAACTCATTGTATATCACCAAAATTTCATAATTTCATAAACAGGCCAATGACAAGAGCTGTAAGACTAACATTTTAAAAGCACAATCATAGTATTTTCTTTTTGTATTTAGGTTGAAGATTGTTTTTATTTGTAGATAGGACAATCAGTTGTGTACATATTTGATATCTTATATATGTATATGAAGGACAGAGAAATATTACATTTAATATATTTGCATGCATATTCTGTGTTGTGTCTTACGTATGATGATGTCTTGCACGTTGAAAATTATTTTTTGTGTTGTAACAAAAAATAAAGTATCTGCATGTCTTTTGTGTTTCCTTTGTGATTTTTTTGTTGCTGTCTTTCTTTGTGTTGTGTACACTAAGTTTACAGAACTGTATGTAGCACACACAATAGTCTAACTTGTAGTATATATCACTCTATTACTATGGCACGGTACTAATTCTCGATCTAAAAGACGTGGGAGCCTTGCTGTTATTAATTTGGATTTATTAGATTATTTACTGTCAGTGTTACAACTAACAGTCTTCATTGCAAATTTTATTTCACACTTCATGCATTTGGACAGCCTTTTTCAGTGAATGATGTATCAACTCAGTCATCTGTCGTAAATCTTTAGGGTCAATTTCACATGAAATTACTCATGAATGTTATAAAAACTCATACGCGCATGACATCAAAGCAGCTGCAGTGATATTTAAAATTGAGTTATCACAGACCGTTGGATAATTTTGTTTCATTCTTGGAGCCTGGGCTTGAAGCCAACAATGGGTTGAGGTTTAGCCAGCTAGCACACCTCCAAGTGAACTGTTACTTTCTTTGTGTGCATTTGTAAGTCCGTCATTGAATTTTACCTTCTCAAAGTCTGTTCACAAAGCTCAATATATATTGGTAAGACCACACCAATTTAATTGGTTGGTTCACGGATTTGCCTGCTTCATTTTTTTCTGATTTGAAAAAAAAATTCAGCCTCTGAATCAACTCCAAAATGCTCATATTTTGGACCCAACAGTTGAACGAAGTCCATTCTCTTCAGTTGTTTTTATCTATCAATGCAGTTGTTTTATTAAAATTTAGAAATTCATTGAGTTACAAACCAGCCTGGTATGTTGACTTCATGGCTCCCATCATAGCATTTGGGGCTATCATAGGATGCCTAGGCCTGTTTTTTTCGCTGTCGCTTCAAATTCTTCAAATCGAATGAAACCAACAATTCAAATAAGTGTGGACTAAACTGAAGAAGCCAGGGGAGACAACTTGTGATTTATATCACCCATTTCCCCTGTCCATTTTATTCCATGGTAAATGCATTTAAATGAATTGTGACGAGGCCTGTCCTTGGTGCTGAACCTGGGGTGGCTGTGAGTTGTTACAACAATTCTTTTCCCTCGCATTTTGGGGGTACAGGATTTTGTTTGTGACTGAATTTTGTCCTTGACTATAATCTTCAATAGTAACTATAAAGGCCATGGATGGCAACAAATGATTTATTTTTTTCTTGAACAGAGTATGAAAGTATACATTCAACTAATTTGAGCGATAGAGAGGCAAAGTATATAATGGTGTGGTCCTTTTTTCCACACACAATATACGGATAGAAAGATATGATTTGGCCACACCGACTTAATTCTATGGATAACATCCTCTGAAGACCCCCAAACTAATGCGGGCGGGCGAATAAAAAAAAAATAAAAATAAAAATGCTACTAAACCACAGGAATACAAAGCTGGTATTGTGAATTTGCATTCAATTTGGTATATAGCGACGTATACGACAAGCCGGCACATGCTGGCTTTTTGCGAAGTTTATGAATTAGCACTGTTTTTTGTTTTTGAGGACAGGCGCACGGATGTCATAAAATTAAGTTGGTGTGGCCTTACAAAAATCAAAGGAACCATCACTTTTGTAAGCTACCACTAGAAATAGAATAAGGAAAAACCAGTTTTCTGCAAATGATAACTAAGGTACCCACAATTTTGACAACACTTAAAAGAACAATACTAGTTCATTTTGCCAATGACACTTTATAATAATTTTACAATTTTGCAATGATGCTGTCCCTACTAGTATCTACTTGAGTAGAGTCCCCGTTATGTCACAGGCCGACATTAATATCATGCTCACCAGAGTCTGTCACACTAAAATGTCTTGTTCGTAGAAGTAATCAGCTCAGGTCACACACACGTGATTTTATGGATAGTAACCATGTGCACTTGTGCATTAATCTGGTCCAGTTTCCCTCCAAAGGGTAGTCCTGTTTGTGCTGATAGATGGTTGGTGATATTAATGGCAATGATTGCTTCCTGCAATACTAGTACATGTCATTTTTCACTCAGATGACTAGAACATGATTTTCAACATGGCAGGTACCAACTATGAAGTTGCTACAACAACTGAGAAAACATAGTACCCTTATGAGTAACAGCCTTCAGTTTAATTCTGTCAACAGTCAATATTTGTAAACTATAGGTAAAAATGATGTAAGTACATGTAATAGGTATAGCAGTCATCAAGGACTCCTTGGGGATCAAGTTAATTCTGCATTTCATATAGTTCTGGCTTTAGTTCCCAGATTTCTGCAGAATTCTCGCTCCAATTCCCAGAATTCTGGCTCTAGTTCCAGAATTCCAAGAATCCCCAAGGGGTCCTTGATGGCTGCCGTGTATTTCTTACATGATTTGTACATGTACCTATACTTCACAACATTATCCCATCTACATGTAGATGTAAGGTTGCTGAGATGTGGGAACTAGTCCAGAATTAAACTTGAAGTCCAGAATTTAACTGGAGGCTGTTGAGTGTACACTTTGTTTAGAAGTTTGTCACTTGGTTTCTGTAGTAACCTGGCCCCAGGCATGCGACACCCCCCACCCCCGGGCGGCTCGCGGTTCCCGACCCGCTCTTCCAGCAGTGCGGAGGTGTACATGTATGACCGCAACGACGGCAGCGTGTCCGACACCGCCGTCTCCTCCATGGACAACCGGCGCCGCATGCGGAAGACGTCCACCAGCAGCAAGATGATGGCCTTCATGGGGCTGTCCAGAAAGAAGAGCTCCAGTACTTCTCAGCTGTCTGCTACAGGTGAGCAGCTCAATCAATCAATCAATCAATCAATCAATCAATCAATCAGAATGCTCTAGCAACTATAGAAAGGTAACATTTACAAAGCAAATACATACATGTAATGTTTACCTTCGTATATGGTCTGCTCTGTTAATTCTTACTCAAACACATTCATATATATGGTGACAGGAGTCTATATCCCTCCTGCTATTGCAACATGATGTAACCCAACAGTACACAACACCCCTAAAATTATATTATCATATAGCCAGAAGACATTGACCAATAAGAAGGCTCCATCTCCCAATTGTTTATCAGGCCGTAACTGCTACGCTCACTTGGTGGTTTATTGGGTGGTTATTGCACCTGACCAGGGATTATCTCACCATATACACCTCTGGGTTGGGCATTAACCCTATATTATTTCACTTGTTTTCCCAGATTCTGGGAAGTCTCCGCGCAGCGGTCTGTTCAGTCCAGCATCGATGCAGAACATCGGCCGGCAGGCGAGCACGGAATCTACCGGCAGCCTCAGCTCCGACTCCTCCAGCATGACCGCGTAAGTTCTTTTTTTTAATTCCAACATTTCATGACTAGACATGCTGATGGCACACTCAAGTTATATCAACATAATATGCCGCCACCAACTCAGAGGACAAATACAGGACAGGACAATACTCATTTTCACTTAAGTGAGGAAAGTCATGTAAGGTGCATTTCTCAAGGGCACAAAATCAGTAGCATGTCAGTACTGGAACCTCTAGGTTCCGAGTCAAGCACTCACCCCACTACGTAAGTTGTCACAGTAACTGGAACAGACCTTTACAGAGAATCTGGAGATGTTTTCAGAGAATTTTTAGATCTTTTCAGAGAATCTTGATATCCTTTCAGAGAATCTTGATATCTTTTCAAGGACCTTAAGATGATTTTAAGGGATCTTGAGGTGTTTTGGGAGCATCTTCATCTTCAGATCTTTCTTAAGCATCTTGAGATCTTTTCAAAACATCTAGAGATCTTATCAAAGGATTTTGAAATCTTGACAAAGCATCTTGGGATCTTTTCAAAGGAACTTGAGATCTTACTAAAGCATCTTGAGATTTTTTTCAAAACATCTTGAGATCTTTCCAAAGCATCTTGAGATCTTTTAAAAGAATCTTGAGACCTTTTCAGAGCATCTTGAGATCTTTTCTACTAGTTTTGTACTGAGAATTAGCATCTAATTTTACAGATGGTTCTTCAATTTCATGTCCCTATAGTCGTCTGCAATGTAGAAGTATACACATGCTGTGGATCATCTTTAATTTTTATTTTGCATTTAACTGTTTGAGATAAACATTATGTCACATGGTTGTTTTTATCATAGTTGATGTTTGTTTATTATAGTTGATGTTTTATCACAGTTGATTCATGCTGATATTGTTCTAAATAGTTCATGATGTCCATGTGTAATATCATGTATTATGTAGTATTTTCCCATGTGTGGTCCATTGTCCCTTGTACATGTACATGTAGTCCATTCTCCATTGTTTCATGATACCCTTCCCCACCATAATTGCTTTTTGTGTATTCATTATTTTCTGCCTACCTTAATTTCCTCTGACCATAACAACTTGAAGACATGTCACATCGATGTTGATTCAAATGTCGATGCCTACATTGTGAGGGTGATAATATTGATATTTTTCAGAATTAAAAAAGGAAGTATTAAGGGCAATACAAAACATAATTACTCATTTGGTTCTAAAACTTGGCCTGGAGAAGTTTTAGCAAATCATTTTCACATCGAGAAACAGATACAGTCAATAAAATCTAAGTTTGGGGCTTGGATTGTAGATCAATTTTTCCCACCATTTCCTACTTCAAACTAACAAGACTAAAAAGAATACCTTAGGTTTTAATTAAGCGGGACTAGTCCAAAGGGTTGTAGTCAGGTCCGGGACTAGTCCGGGACCAGTGGACCTGCCGGACTAGTCATGTCCCCGACTCCCAGGACCACCTCGGACCGATCTGTGTCTGACAGGACTAGTCCCAACCGTCTGGGACCTGCTAGGACCTGCTGGGACCACCTCGGACTAGTCCGGACTAGTCCACTGAAATTTCCTTTTTACAGAGGCATGCAAACAAACTGCAAACCTATCCTACTACTAACTGTCTTATTAAAAAAAACAGTTATTGAAGCAGCTGGATATGATTTTGGAAATGGTCAGACATTTCAGGTAGCATCCACTACCTTTCGTCAGTGACACTGGTGAGGTCTCAAGATCATATACAGTTGCTTGAATAACTGTTTTTTGGCATATCTTATAACCTGGATGCCCCGGGCTCGAAATTCATTTTTGGGAATAGGTGCGCTGGTGCATCCAAACTAAAGAATTGGGTGCACAAGAAATTTTTCGGGTGTACCATCTAAAATAAAATACATGTACCACATGGCAGCAAAAACTAAATTCAGCAAAAACCTAACTTCATTTCTTAAAGAAAAGTACTACAATGATTTTATTATTTTTCTCACTCCTGGATGTTAAGAATATGCTGTATACTATTATACATTCAACATCTTTACATATTAAGTAAACATACGAAAATTTTTGGGTGCATTGGTGCACCCACAGAAAAAAATTGGGTGCACAGCTCCAAATTTGGGTGCACTAAGGTGCACATGCACGCAGCATTCCGTGCCCTGTTAACGTACTAACTGTGCTGTTTTTGTGCCCTGTTAACGTACTAACTGTGCTGTTTTCGTGCCCTGTTAACGTACTAACTGTGCTGTTTTCCGTGTGTGTTTAACACCGTCTGCCTCCCGCCCTGCTCTAACCACCCTGTCCTCGTCTCTCCTCTCTCTGCAAACTCACAGCGTGTGGTTCCCGTCTAGCTTGAGGCTGGACGGACCGATCAACGACTTCCTGGACGGCCTGGGTCCGGCCCAGCTGGTGGGGAGACAGGTGCTGGGTGCCCCGTGTCTCGGGGACATCCAGGTGGGGTTACTGGACCGGCGTGGGCTGCTGGAGGTGGAGATCATCCGGGCACGGGGTTTGATTCCCAAACCTGAGGCCAACGTACTGCCTGGTAAGAACCGCATCGTCTACATCCTTAGCATCACATGTGGATTGGACCATTTTAACTGATGATTGATAAACCAGTTTACCTTTCACTGATCGCATGAACTGCATACGTCACAGGGGGGACATTTCGAATAGAACACCATTCTAGAACTGGCTTTTGCTTGCGTTGTCTCCCCTGGCAGATCTAGATTTCCCGACGTAGATAACCATAATTTCTGTAAGCTCCTGACCTGCGCTGGTACAAGGAGTCTTTAACTTATCAATACTTTTGTGTCAATCACTGAAGAATGGCTGTCCCCTGTTTCCTTCCACCCAATCTCACCAGATAGCTGATTCTGTTATCTGAGGGCAGAATGCAGACAATCACAGTGATCTGCTGGGGTCAAATCACAAGCAAAATATGCGTTAAACTTCCAGGTTCTAGAACAGTGTTTTATCAAAAATGTACCCCCTGTGACGTAAGCAGTTCATGCGATCACTGAAAGGTAAACTGGTCTATTGTTGAAAGCAATGTTAGCATGAAAGTTAATAATCTGTGTTTGTACAAATGTAGTTAGCATATGAAGTACAGAGCTAAAACTTTGTTCCAACACACAAAAAAAATTTACACACTGAATGTTGTAATGCAGTCTTCCTCAAATTTAAATGATCATATAGTACTGTTGATTCAGCTAGTGAAATCACCTGAGATAATGAACATGTGATGTCAGCTATTGGTCAAAAGTGGCAAGAAACTTATTGAAACAAGGTTTTAGCTCTGAACTGATATGTGTAAATCTTGATTTCTAATGCTTTGTTTTCTTTTGTAAACCAGTAAGGCATATCAACATCAGTCAGTCGTACAATTACTAAAATAGCAAATTAATGGGCAGTTGCATGTAGTTTCATCCACTTAATTTTTTTATTCATCTTGCAAGCTAGTACTGTAATACACATTTTTTTAGTTTATTTTATATTTTATGGTTTGAAAATTTAGTAGTTGTTTTCTTTGTAGTATATTTTTCAGTACTAGTCGCAACACTTTGTGTAAAACTATCACACGATTTGTCATTTGATGCTATGAAAAGTTGGCCGTACACTCTGCATTGAGTATATGTATATAAGATATGTTACTAATTTTTGTAACAGTTACAGAAGATAGAAACATAGAAATTATCAGGTCAGAAAAATAAATACAGTTGAGAAACATTTCAGGTTTTTAACACAAGTTTCTCCATGAATGTAACCAGGCCATGTAGTTGCCACAGCTTCCATTCCCCTAGACCTCCCAAATTTAAACTTTATGGACTCTTCCGTCCTTCTATCACAACGCAACTCAGCGGCCGCTGAAGTACCAGGTGGGTGAAGTGCATCCTGGGTAATAGAATGCACCCTGCATGCCTGATGTTGACCTTGAATGCCTGCCAATCAACCAACAACTACTAATACTTCAAATTAATCCTCTTCACATCAAATATCAGTCTCACTCAAAGTTAACCAACACTTTTACTCTATTTCTACATTCTGTAACCAAATTTTTCAAGAATGAGCAACTAGTATCAAAGATTGACTAAAACTCACAGCTTAAGCATGAACTAATAAAATAGTTTTAAAGCAATCTCTGAAAAGTTAGTATCATAATTTAGCCTCCCTAAAGAGTCCTGTACTTAGTACCTTAACCCTCGCACTTTGTATGGCATCTTTAAAAATTTCCTAGCTTGTTCACTGGTCCACATAGATGAAAAGAAGTGAACTGTTAGAAGAATCATATTCTTTTACCAAAATTGAAGTAACATAACGTTTAAAAATAACTGATATCTTTGCCATTTTTGAAGTCACTGTTAGTGTTATAGTAATTTTTATCAAAACAATAATGGCTCTCTAGCTCTTATTATAAAGGAATCAAACTTGTGGAGGGGGGGGGGTTGACATTAGATTTAGTCTCAGACAAGACCAGAGGATCACAGGAATGGTTACTCAAATGGCGGAAGGGTTCAGAAAGCAGAGAGAAAATGTCTGTGTCAGCAGCTTATTAATGAAACATTTTTTCCAAAAGGAAAAAAATGTCCATCACCATATTTTGGCTTAAAATTGATAATTCATCAATTTAACCTATAATATAAGTTAAAAAGACTGAATTACAAAAACTTTAACAGCAACAACACTATCATGAAAGTTCATCTGAGTTGGTAGTTACATGTTTAAAGTTAAAACTTTTGATCCAACACAAAGAATTCTCTCACCTGGAGCTTTCAACCAGCTCTAGGTGAGAGAATTCTTTGTGTTGGATCAAAAGTTTTAACTTTAAACAAGCAACGACACTTGCAAACGTACAGTCAAATACGTACGGTCAGACCCAAACACTATAATATATCAAAGTAGGAGACAAAGTAAATTGAATGAATGACAATATAACGATGTACTTTAATTTGTTTGTTGCAGCTCCGTATGTGAAAGTGTACCTGATGGAGGGGAAGCGTTGCATGGCCAAACTAAAGACCAAGACCGCCCGACGCACCCTGGACCCGCTTTACCAGGAACAGCTGGTCTTCCAAGAGCCTTTCAGGGGCAAAATTCTACAGGTGGGTCCTTTAATAGATCTTAGTCCTGCGGCGCTCAACAGTTGGGTTATACATACAGTACATTACAGTACGATTTGGGGGTATTTCTTGTGCGACACATCACAGCGCAGTGAAGCGCAACAGATGCGGAAGTCTCCCACCGTAGGGCAAAAAAATTCAACTTATTAAAAAATATGTGTAAAAAAATTCCAAGGACAAGAGTTAATATTGACAAAGAGAAGGCAGAAGAAATAAACAATCAGTGTTTTTACAATTTGAGCAATGTGTATCTACTGTACCCAGAAAACAAGCAATTAGAGATTTCAAACCTATAGGAAGTATTGAGACTTTTTGAGAATTTATTGGCACAACCACACACACACACACACACACACACACACACACATGGTTGCTAATAGAGTATAAGCTGACCTGATTTTGGTAAATGTTACAGATCACAGTCTGGGGGGACTACAACCGTATGCACGAGCGCAAAGTCTTCATGGGTGTCGCTCAGATCGTATTGGACGACCTTGATCTCTCCACAATGGTTATTGGCTGGTACAAACTTTTTCCTACATCCTCATTGGTCCAGCCAGCGACATTCGGGCCACCACTACGACGTGCATCGATGACATCACTAGATACAGCGTACTGAGGGTACCCTGCCCTCCCCTTCCCTGTAGTGTTAGCATCCTTACATAGAGTTGTTCAACATAGCACCGTGTTAGAAGACAGGACGATAGACTAGATACATATGGGTAGAAGAACGGAACAAAAAAGCATTTTACAATCGTCTTATGAAAGGGATGCATGTAAAATAGTCGACTTCCACTGTCATTTTTAATACTTGATTCGTTTGAAGATAGAATTCGAGGTTGAAGAAGAGAGAAGCAAAAAAAATAATGGTCAGACATTGAAGAAAACACAGTACAGCTGTCAAACTATTAACAAAAGGTCTGATTTTTCTTGTTCATCTTTTTTCCGCATAGAAAAGCTGAAGAAGATATAATATTAGAATGACACTGTGAAAACAAGAAAGCCCATACTTATCTAATATTGAGAGAAACAATGGAAGCAATGAGAAAGCAAGCTTATTTATTTATTTATTTATAAATGCTTTCATACTTCTTGAGATTTCTTGACAATTTCAACTTTTGTTTGAGTCCAAAACTTCAGAATATGAACTGATCGGTGTAAACTATAATATTATATAGAAAATATTCCAGAAAAAATTGAACTGACAATCGTAGATACATGCTGACCATGTTTGAGAAAGATGTAAGTTCACCAATGCTGCCAGTTCATTTTAGATGTACTCAAATCTAAGTTTGTTAATTAATGTTTGGTAAGGAGCAAATAAGAAAGAAAGCAATCTGCTGCAGAACTGTGTGTGTGACTTAACATGAGACATGCACAAGTTACTTTCAAATTGGTAAAATGGACAAACTTTTTTGTTTGTACAGTTGCAAATTAAAGTTTGCCTTGGCACTGTGGTAAAGAAAGAAACACTGTACTTCAGTTTTCCCCAAATGTTTATGACGACAAAATTATCAAACTTTTTTCAATCTGAATTATCACAATCTAAAAGTTACATAGGTTTTGTATCTACCATAATGTTGCAATTTGGGGCTAATGTTGTTTTTTTGCACTGCCACTTGAGTTAACCCTCAAAGAAGTTCCTTAAGTTTTTACACCACACATGTAATCATATTATGACAAAGTTATATTCAAAATTGTTTGCCATGTATCAATAGTAAAAGTTGAAAGAAATACGTCTTTAATGATGGTGTTGATGATTGTATATTATTAAGTAGTATTCCATTGTTGTAGGGGCGATTTGTGTCTCATGTTAAGTCACATTCATTTATGTTTTTTGGTGCAGTTTTGTTGAGTAAGGTTTGAGACTTTCTATTCAGACTTTAAAGTAATGGCCATTTATTTTTTGAGCCGATACGAGGTATTTTAGCCTCACTGGCAGAAGCAAAGAGTGACATTTTGTTATGCATTTTCCTTGATGCAGAACCTTTGAGAGAAAATATTTTACGTACATAATATACATACATTTATATTCAACTTTCTTTTACACATATATTGTAGCTATTTTATACTTTGACATGACAATAGATGTTAATGTATTTTTGGTAAGTTTTGTTGCCTTTTAAAAGTGTTGATGGCAGTGTTACTGAAGCACAGTAAGTTGCAGTTGGAATCAGAAGTGTTAGTATCATCGAGTGCAGTACGAAATGATGATGATTTTCTCTGTTTTCAGTGTTAATTTGAGACACCAAGAGTGCATATTATATGTACCATGGAATGCGTAAACCTTATTTATTTATCTGAAGGGACCTTGTGCAAAGGCAATGCCTGTCATTCTAAATACAATGTACATAACTTTGAAATTTTTACATGGGAGGGGCGGTAAAGTTGTCCCACCAATGTAGTAGTATTAAACAGTATATCCAGCAGTGCAATGATAGGTAAGGAATATATGATAAGTACTTTTTATTGATTGACCAATATGCCCACGGGCCCAACTCATATATCAAATATATGTGTATTCATCGAGCTACAAACAGGCTAATTTGTATGCAGGGTGGACATAGGGAAGTGTGTAAAAAATGATGCAAAAATCTGTTTTGTTGACAAGCCGTAACAAGACTTTGATTGTATGTTATATCCCTCCTTCGAAAAGCTGACCTCCCCGTTGCATGCAGTGTAATCTTCCAATATACATTTGTAATGTATAAATTTCCAATGGTGGGGAGACAGTGAGGGTCAAGTCCATTCTGATGCAGAGGGGTGAGAGCTTAGAAATTATAGACCTCATGGTAGTATCTCCACCCCTCTCTGTATATGCTTATGGTAGATTCCTCTGTATCTGAATAGTGTGTTTGAGATCATCCTACTCCACAAGAAGGGGGTGTTTTTCTCCTGCTCTATATTGTATACCCTAGCAATAATTCAACATTTTGGTTCATTCTTCTGTGGATTCAATGAAGGTTTTTAAACTCATTTTCTCTGTATATAGAAGACGGACATGCAAGGTCAACTGTTGACCTTGCCAATGGAAATGATCATGTGACCTATCACATGGACATCATGTGACCATCACATGGGTATACCTGATACTATGGAAAACTGATTTCTATATAGCCTATAGTCTTGCGTTCTAAGCTAAGTAACTGTAGTCCGACGATGTTTTCAAAAGATTTTAATGATATGAGTCAATAGCTGGGGTAGGGTAAACTTGTGGGGGAAATTTTGCCGCAACATACATATGACAGTAATATATCTATAAATATATACACGTGTGTAAATGACGATGATAGGTTTTCACTTCTTGAGAAGCAAAGTTTCTCAGATGTACTGCGGAAGGAGTTAGGGAAAATTCTATGCAGCGTAAAGTGACTGACCCGCCAGTGCTAAAATCCTTACAAATAACCCTTCTAGTTTATGTGAGGATGATCCTTATCCAAACTTGTGTTATCATATATGAACTCTTGACGATGTAACATTTAAAAACCTTCCGTTTTAATATCACTGCTGTGATTGGTTCTTGTGACCTTGTACAGTGGGGGTACATAAAAATTGAGCGACTTGTCCATGCAATGTGCACTGCTTTAAATTTAATACCCTCCACTATTCGTTTAGGGTAAAGTCTTCGATGTTCAGTTTACAGCTTATGAAGCGACACTACGTCTTACTTAGAATGTCTCTGTTCGAAAGCATCTTAAGAAATAACTTGAAGATCGATCATGTGTATGTTTCTTTAAGAGTTACGTGTCAAGAATGACGCGGCTAGTAACATTTAAGCATTTCCTTGGCGCTCTTACGTTTACTGTTAACACCCCCTTTGTGCTTTCCTTGCTTCTCTCTTGAGTGCAATATAATAGTGTTTGTGGAATAAAGTTTCATATTTATAGTTGATAGGTGTGTATAAACTTGCCAAGTGGGGGTGTCAGCAGGTAATGTAAGAGCAGCGCTATGTGTTACAAGGAGTATGCCCTTCCCACAAATGTATACACCCCCTGAAATTCTGCACCAGTACTGCATGAGACAAGTGTGTTGTACCTTGTACCTGAATTAATAAAAAATTCTAAGTCCACATTGCCTTGTGATGTGTTCTTTACTGTTGATTTTACTAGTAGTAGGATATATTTCTTAGTACATGCAGTTTCTATATTACATGTCCTTGCAGTAGCCTTCCTGCGTTTTTTTTGTGACAGAAACGGGCAGCTAGGAAAATGATCATATGCCTGACTAAAACGATTATTCCCTGATATATCTGTGATATTTTAGTAGTCAGGAGAGGCCTCAATGTCAAGAACAAGAGCTGGAAAGACCTGGAGTAAAACCCCCATAAGAGCCCGTCCCATTTCCCAAGTCGCGAAATGGCCAAATCTGGGAATGAGCCAGGCTTCAAAACGGGGGTGTGATAGGGGATGAATTTACGCTTTTTCAATTTGAGAAAAATGAAACTTTTGGCATTTTTCGGCCTCCTTGTTTTCAGAGTATGGTCTCCTTTCTATTCCTACTTATTGCCTTTCCCAAATTTCATTCATTCTCAACTTACACGTAAAAATGTGATTTTGCGATCAGCTGATCGCTTGAAGTGAATTTTCCCTGTCGAGCTCATTACCATATGAATGTAAACCAAGCAGATGCATGGTGGAAGGCAAAGTCGTAACAGCTTGGGGATTGCCATAGTTATACGCCTGGCAGAGGCTCAGTTTCCATTCATATGGTATTGAGATCGACACTGAAAAATTCACAAATTGATTTCCTTCGTATATTGCAGTCGGTGTATTAATATTCAGTTTGTAATCATGAAGGTTCAAACTGAAGCTATCCCTGTCCTTGGTGCTGAAAGCTGTCCCCCTCCCCTGTTCGTAAGAATATTACGTGGTTGCCGAGCATTTTCACCTCCCTTAGCCTCATAAATCGGCTCCTTTTCTTTGTAGAGGCAGTTCTTACGACTCAGTAGCTTATCTGGGGGAAAATAACTGCCTAAAATAGACCCGTTCGTCCGGAAATCCATCCATATTTGGTCAAAGAGGCAGACGTCATAATTGTTTCTCCTTATTATCCAATCAGGCTCAACGACTCAAATACGTAGACATGATGAGAACCAATCAGCATCAAGGATACATCGGTTAATGACCCTCTGCGCCATGTATTGCATGTAAACGTCTCCTCAAGTACCTGCAATAATTCCGCGAACTGCTAGAGGCCCTCATTGACACGTGTGATGGCAGTATGGCGCCTGTGGATGCATCACTAAAACGTGAGGGAGTAAACTTTGTAAAGAAGGGTGCACGTTCGCCAGGGATGAAAAGATTCTTCTGGACACCTCAGGTATGAATTATTACACTTCTAGAAAGGGTTTGGTGGAAAACTGGAATGAAAAGTTTATACGTTTATGCGTTTTATTGATGTTTGTTTAATTTTTCGTTACTAAACATATTTTCCTTGATTTTGTTCTTACTATCAGTTCTAACCGTCCAGAAAACAACTAGACGTGAAGAATGGATCATATAGAAAATACTAGTTCGGTAATTGCTTGCGCTATTTTTACTTTAAACGCCAATGTTTACACCCATTCCTGCCTATATTTAACCCAGCATATCTACACATAACTACCTCGCATGACGTAATGCGGCACCTGGACTTAATGTTGCATATTTTTTAGCCTCGTTATCAGACGAAATCCGCTGATTTGATTGGTCCTCCTTTTAATTGAATTAACGTTAATGCTCAGCTAAGACCTGTCAAATGGCCGTTTTATTGAATAACGTTTGAAAATCTAAGACTTGCTTCGCCCCAGTGTGGTGATTTGCTATTGGCCTGTCATTTACCTTATGTTAACTTGATTATCGTATGCAAATTTTGATCGTGATTTACAGGTGGCACATGCAGCTGTGCGTGAAACACACCTTTCCAAGATGGCGAGCTTGCATGGAAGGGAAGAACGAGCTGGGTAAAAATCCCGCCCAAGAAGACGCGCCACGTCCGCTTTGGTGGTAAGTTGTACTTTAAATTGTCGTAGATACTCTCTGGACTATTGTAGGTAAATCTCCTCTAAGGTGAATGAAGCAAAAAGACAGAATTTTGAAAATAAGTTGCGGCAACAGTCCCCCACGTGGTAACGCTGCACCAAGCTTTTGTGTGGTCCAGTAAGGAAGATAAAAATGCACTTTCATTTATTCAATTCAATTTTTTGCACCGTATACCCACACCAGTTCTTGAACATGGGTCAATCAATTACTATTCAATGAGGGGGAAATTAATGATCCTGAAATAGAAAAACTACACCAATCTTAAGAGGTGCACTTTGTAAATAATCCGCTGAGGGGCGCTTTTTAATGTGACCCCTGACCTGAACAGCTTTGCTTGAAACGTGGTTTGCTGTCATGGCTGTTGTCCTTTGTTGTTGTCCTTTGTGTTTTGGTCAAATTCTATGCGTTTCAATGTAAAACAAACGTGCTCCGAGGCCGGTAGCATACAGAGGGGACACGATAGTACTGTCTGTGAAGAGGATGACATGGATAAGGTGATAGATTTGGAAGGAGGGGAGACAGACGACTAGTAATATTTTCGAGTGGGGAGGGGGGCGGTAACAGAGTTGTTTTATGTATCAAAGACCGTATCCAGGGTTATGATATACGTCACATAGTGCTCAAGAAGGTAAATTTGTAGGTAGAAAAGACACCAAGAATCCACCATAAGCTTGACTGCAAGAGAAGCGGTGTTTTGGTCAGGAACAGGTCAGGATTTTTCTATGCATGTTAACCAGTTGTTGAGCGGTATTAAAGGCCACGCCGATTTAATTTTATGGATGACATCCGCGCGTGCATTGATTTTCGCCTGTTCTAAAAAAAAAGATCAGGTCCTCTGAGGCTCTAGGCCTGGGTAGTTATCGACAATACGGAACCGGTGGTAACTCTAGCTCCGGGGAATTGGCACCACGACTCAAGAACTCAGTACATTTGAGTGCCGATTTACAAATGTATGAATTCCGCAATGTCAATGTGAGAAAACCAGTTGTACAATGTTTTAGAACTGAAAAAAATTAATTATTTATGTACCTTGCGCATGCTGGAATCCACCCCCAAAAAAGTCTATATATAGGGTCGCAGGTTTTTCTAGGGTTGGTCGGGAAACAGGAAATTAGACCCAACCTATGGATCGGGATAATCCAGACACTGAAACTCAATTACAGGAAGCGTCATCTCAGAAGCATCTTGCAGGAGCTACCAGACCACAAGGAAGCCACCGGTACGCGGGTCGCCAAGCGACTGACCATCTTGGAGACCATCCAGTTTGTGGAGTCCGCCTGGCAGGAGACTTAAGAGGACTGTCCAAAAAGGCCGGCTTCTGTCAAAACAGGTGAGATTCAAGTAGTGATTGTTGAGATGCTATTGAACATTGAATTTTATTCCTTTTCAGATTGTGTTCTAGTTTTCTTTTAAATGTAAGAGATAATTGCTGTTTGCATAACATTCCCATTGTTTTTATGTCGAGAAACACAAATGCAATGTTGTAAACATGTTGATAATGAGTAACCAGGCAAAGGTACAATTGTCTTTATTTTCAATTGTTATTTTTTAAATCATGTTGTAGCAGCCAGTGCTGACTCAGAGGGACCAGAAGAGGATGAGACTAGTGTGGACACTGCAGACCATCCAGCGATGTAACAACTTCTACAGGAGCTGTTTGGTTGTAACTTCGGGGAGCTGGCTGCTATCGATGAAGATCTGTCAACCTGCGACAATGAGGTTAGGGATTGGGAGAAGGATGCATCCACTCTCCTGGGGGAGCTACAGGACACAGACAAGGACGAGGGTGAGTGCAGCAGGCAGTCTAAAGTGCCAAACCTGAACACACTGGTGAGCATGATGCGTGACATTATTTAATTTGATTTATTGAAATTGCAACAGTGCAATACACGCGGAACAGAGGCAGCTGTTGCTGGTGTTGTGTCCCGCACATAGAAACTAATACTGGACAGACATACTCATTTTCACTTGAGTCTAGTGGGGAAAGTCGTGTAATGTGCCTTTCCCACAGGCACAAGATCGGTGGCATGTCAGGACTCGAACCCAGGACCTCTTGCTTCTGGGTCCCGCACGCTGCCATTGCACCACACGACCCCACAAATGATGATGAAATCATTCACAAGCTAAATATGTTATACGATGGACATGTATTATCATGCTAGATTTGTGTGAAATACATTTGTATGTATGATCATACTAGATTTGTGTAAGGGACCGTACGTTATTTATCGGGGGGGAGGGCCGGTGCGTAGGAAATCGGGCAGAAAAGGTTTTCCCTGGCCCTCCCCCCGTATTTATTTTTTTCCCTGGCCCTCCCCCGCTATAAGAAAACTTTCCTTGGCCCTCCCCCCCTTTCTGAAACATTACAAATCATGCCCGTAGCCAGGATTTTGAATGGGGGGGTTCTTCCCACTGCTTGAGGGGACCTCGAGCGACGTAGGCGCGAGGTTCCTAGGGGGGTCCGGGGGCATGCTCCCCCGGAAAATTTTGAAAAATGAACATTCTAAAATGGCATTTCGTGCATTTTTGAGAGGGTTTCCAAGAAAAAATCTGAGATAAATTTTTATTCAATGACAAAGGGAGCAGTTTTTCTACGATTCCAGTCCATCTTTTCAAGAAAAATCTTGGACCTTTACATAAAAAGTGGACAAAAAAGTGGACCTTTACATAAAAAGTGGACCAAAAAGTGGACCTTTGAGCCTTGTGGGGGGGTTCGTCCGAACCGGGCTACGGGCATGCAAATGCCCCTGAAACTACATCCTAATTTAATTTAATACTATCAACAATCAATAATAATTTATTAATAGTTTGATATGATATTTAAGTGCGGCACGCGACGAAGTGAAATATTCCGTGGGAAGCTCCGGGCTCTTGAGCGTGCCCGCCGGGCCAAGGAAATGGGGCAAATTTGCGCGGACGGGGATTGGCTTTTAAAATACCTGGCGGTTTGTTGGGTCGGCGTTGTTCTCGATAGGCAGTATTCAGACCAAATAAGACTCTACTTTGCTACGCTCACGAAGGTTGTTGCGTTTTTGGCTGAACGAAAATG